TCTGATTTAAATAGAAGTAGAACTAAGCATACAGATGTTTATTCCCACAGGAAACGTATGAGCCCGTAACCTCTTCCAGTCCCATGTTCGGTTTGGACTGTGAGATGGTTATCACAAAAGTCGGCAGTGAGTTGGCTCGTGTCACAATCGTTGATGAGCTCGGCTGCGCCCTCATGGACAGACTTGTAAAACCTCCAAATCCTGTTGAAGACTACGTCACTCGGTAAGTCCCGTCCTTTCTTCGCCAGCCTTGTTATTTAAAAAATGTTTGCATCCTTTTATCTGGTTAGTTATATGCCTTTTCTTTTCCTCGGCAACGACTTATAGGTTCAGTGGCATTACCCACCAAATGCTCGCCGGTGTGGACACCCGTCTCGCTGACATTCAACAGGAAATGAGACAAATACTGCCCCCAGATGCGATCCTCGTGGGACATTCTATTGAAAACGATCTTAAGGCACTGAAGGTTAGTGCGGAGTCACTGCTCTGTTATATTTACCTTGAAGTTAATCTGAAGCCTAGCGCGATGGGCAGAGTACTTGCAGGATGTTCCCTCAAAGTTCTTTAGCAGTAGTAGGGTCTCCACCGATCTGGTTACGGAACATGCTCGTCCCCTTTTGCCTTCGAGTTAAATCTAGAGTCCTCACAGGCAGAGCGACTTGTAGTATAGGCCGAAGTGCAACCGACAAGCACAGGGCAGACCGGAATGGACGTTTCTGGCTCATTGGCCGTCACCAAACCGGTCATACCTAATCCCAGGGGCGGCGACTCCCGAGATTGGGACTGCCAAGCTTTGGCAGAGCGCCTTAAGGTTAGTCTGAAATCGCTGCAGTGGGTCTTGCATAAGGAACCCGGACAGCATTGCTAGCTGTCCGCCAAAGTTCGACTTCAGTATATTTTGTGTTTCAGCCTTATCTGGTATTGTTGTCTGCCCGATTGGCCACGGCAGATTCGTTGGCTGGCACACGTGTCCACCCCCCGCCCTCCTATCCATTTCCCCTTTCTCAACCCTCATGCTCTAACCTTTTCACCCTTTAGATTTTCCATCCGTACATAATCGACACCAGTGTCATCTTCAATATGTCTCAGTGCCGTACTGGAAAGCCAAAACTACGGAATCTTGCTCAAGCTTTTCTCGGGTACGCATCCTTATTCAAGATATTTGTCATGGTTGGCAGAAGCCCGCCAGAGGACGACTTCTCAAGTAATTATCCTACATCTCATCCGTATACAACAACCCCCCTTGAAGACCAATGTTTTTACAAGCTATCTTAAAGGTTGTCGTTTCTGCCGCTTCTGCTACATGTGAGCCGTGTGCAAAGAAGGGCTTCTGCGTAGGGAATACCCTACCATGCCCCAAAACAGTTGAATGGACGAACGTAGATTCACTCACTACACTCAGTGCACAACTCTTGAGTTGGCTTCGGAGTTGGTTGATGCCCGTTCGAAAGCCCTCTTCCTAGTGGAATGCAGGGACCACCAAACAATTTCCGCAGCCAGGTCTTCTAGCCGTCACCACTGGAAAGGAGCCTGTTCGAAAGCTGGCATCCCAGCGTAACTGAAATATGTATTACAACATTTATTAAGTAATCTTTTCCCATAAATAGCACACTTCTGAATTTCGGTTACGGTACACAGCTTAGTTAGTGGTATGTAAGTTGCCACAAATCTAGCTCTCCGCCCGTCCAACCACGCCCTGTTCGAATCCCCGAATGGTAAGTCACCAGTAGGGGCAGAAGCATAGAAGTGCATTGGTGTATTACTACAGCATCTTTAAGACCAACGAAGCACGTAAGAGTTTGTAAAAAGTCGGACTAAGCTCGACCAATCTCATAGTGTTCTTCGAACGGTAAGCATCTCGACTGGCATTCCGACTCACCCGAATGGTTAGGTAGAGCAATAGTCCCGTCGGCAGTTTGCGCCACATTACCACTTGCGCGGCCTCTGGGCCGATCGATAGGATAGTGCGGCGTAGGAAGGAGTCATCAGGACGAAGTAGGAGCGTGTCGGTCAGGATGGCTACTCCTTAAAATTAGCTCTCGCACTCACACCCACAGCCTAGGCGCATTGACTTTTTCTTTAGAATCCAACCGTATCATTACACCTTTACAACGAACTAACACCCAGTAACTCAGGCGTGTTATGCTTCGGCCTTATGTATCCTTATAGTTCGAACCTCTTGTCCTTGCTGATATCTTGCCTCGCCCCTCTTTTTTGCTAGCCTGACCATCCAAGGTGGAAAGAAGGGCCATTCATCTGCCGAGGACGCCAAGGCGACACTGGATTT